TTTTTCTTATCTTCTATTTTTTTCTGAAGTTGATGCATAATAACTGCTGACTCTTCACGAACCTTCTGTTCCTCTTTAAGTTTATTTTTAAGTTCATCAATTTTGCTATCCATGTTAAAACATTGCTTATCGTTTAGCAGTTTTTGCCAGTTCGTGACAAGTTCAGTTATTTTGCTTTCAAGTTCCTTCATAACGGCATTTAAAGATTGCTGCAGCTGATCTCCTTCTTGCTTTAGTGATTCAATTTTGTCAGACACTTGATTTACATCCCACTTCTGACACCAAATGTACTGCGCATGGCCGAGTATTAAACTCTTCCTTCTGCTTCCAACTTTTATTCCACTCGATATAACTTTAACTACGGAACAGGACCAAACTAACTTCTAAATTAACGTCTACTTCACAAACAATAACAATAACAGGCGGAAAACTCGCTCTTCTGACTCGCGGGGTTTAACCTCTTCTGCATCCGGTCGTTGCTGTCACTTTACTCTTTTTCCGGTCTCGTTCTCGTCGTCGCTTATATCCTTTTCTCCAGGTATTCCAGATAGTTCTAGAAATCTCCAGAACAGGTGCGAAACTTCCCGCTTGTCAGTGTCATATTTGACATTTCCGTTACAATATACTCGACATGTCTTGACCAATTTTCAGCCACAAAAGCTTGCAAAAAGTGCACTTTTGGGTTGTGCTGCTCGCAAACACCCCCACAACCAGTTTTGAACCTATTAGTTCTCGTCAGCTGGTTTGAGCTTGCAAATGACATCTAAAACTCTTCTACCCCTTTAAAGGGTAGAATAGGGAGGTAAAAGTGAATGAATGACAGGTCATCCTAATCCCGCTTCGTTGGGAATTATGCCTGAATTGTTCAAGCAGAAGTTGCAGTTTCATAAAACCGTTTGATTGGTCAGCATTTAAAAAGTTGGAAACCCAGAATTTGATCGGATTCGAAAGAAATTTTTAACATTCTCGGACTGATGTGTCTTCTACGGACTGAGAAAGTTTCAAGTTGCTACTTGCGCCAGATTAGACGTGAGGGGCTTTTCAAACGAGGCTCACAGTTGCATGAAAACGTTAATTTTTGGGGCAATATTTAGTCGGGCAGCCAAATTCCAAATTTCATGAAATTCAAATGACAGTTTCACGAGTTTTAAATCGAAGTGTTTTCTCTTTAATTTGGTAATTTTAGTGTGCTGCTCGCTTCGGAATAAAAGTTATGAATTTTTAAAGTTGGTGGTTTCGTTGCGTAAAAATGTCGCTTTTTGTCCAACATTTGCCAAGTTGGTAAAATTCAGAATTTGGTGAGATTAGAAATAAATTTTCAGCACTTTTAGCCCCATGTGTTTTTGGTGGACTGTGAAAATTTCAAGTTGCTACTTGCTCTAGATCAGAAGTTATGATTTTTTAAAGCAGAGAGTGTGCCCCAGTGTGGGAAGACATATTTTTGCACCAACATTAATAGGTGACAAAAATCAACATTATGTCATTGGTAGAAAACTTTCGGAGTTTTCACAAATAAGGATTTCGTGTAAAAGGTAAAAATTCCATGCTACCAATTTTCTGAGATTAGAAGCTGCAATTTTTTTAACGTAGTTGAGCGAAAACACTTATTTTAGGCGAAGCCGGCAAATTTCAGTGTTTCGTGTGGTTTCTTCGTCTTTTTATCGACCGTGAGAAGTTCTAGTAAGAACTTGCTTGATATTAAAAGTTAAGCGTTTTAAAGGCAGAGCAAGCACTCCCTGCAAAGCATACATAGAGTGCTATTGTGTAAAAATGTTAATTTAGTCGAAATTTTACTACCGCGGCCAAAATTAAATCTTAGCGCGATTTGAACAAAATTTTCCCAGTTTTTTGAACTGGATATGTTCTCTAACCTGTAAAAATTCCAATTGGCTAACTTTTTTTGATTGGAAGTTACAAATTTTCAGAACAAAAAGTGTCAGTTTAGAAACGTCCATTTTTGAGTTGATATTTACTAAGGTGGCAAAAATCAGATTTTATCCCGATTCGAACTAAATTTTCACAGACTTTATAACTGGATATGACCTCTATACTGTGAAAATTCCAGCTAGCTACTTCTGATCGATTGAAAGTTAGGAGTTTTGAAAGCAAAACGTGCTATTGTGTAAAGACGTTTACTTCTGAGTCGATATTTACTAAAGCCGCAAAAATCAGATTTTAATGCGATTCGAACCAAACTTTGCCAGGTTTCAGAACTGGATCTTGCCTCTTGCTTGTGAAAATTACAAGTGGCTACTTTTGCAAGAATAGAAGTTACGAATTTTTGAAGCAAAGAGTGCTTTTGTTGATTTTTAGTCGATATTTTCTTAAGCGGCAAACAGCAGATTCGGAGGCGATTGAAACAAACAATTTTCCCAGTGTTTATGTTTAGATATCTTCTCTTGGTTTCAAAAATTCCTTTAAAATGTGCGATTTTTTAAAGCGTTGGGCGTCACATTTACATTTTAAATCATCGGGTGTCGAAGTAAAATTCAGAATTTCTTTCGATTCATACCTAATTGTCTTATATAGACAATGAAATTTTCAAGTAGCTGCTTGCCATTGCTTAGAAGTTAGAACATTTTCAAGCAAATAGCTTCGTTGTCGATGGCCCAAAATAGGTGATTTTTGGGCCATCATTTACTAGAGCCTCAAAAATCAGGTCGGAGTGCGATTTTCACAAATTGCGCAGCCATGAATCGTCGTGAACTGTAAAATTTTGTAGTTCTTTCATTGCTTCAGAGTGTTCAAACGTAGGGTGCAGTTGTGTGAAAAAGTCAATTTTTAACCCATTGTTTTGTGCGTGCTGTTTCAGCATAAAAAAACACTTGATTGCCTGCTACCTGCTTAAAGGGTATGAGCTTGGATGTGCGATTTGCAGGCTTAAACCCTAAACGGGTTCGAAACCGGTTCTGGGGTTGTTTGCGCTTCACACAACCCGCAAGTCTGTACTTTTACCAAGCTTCTATTAAAATAGCACCCACGAGTAGTCGCTATGTTTAATGTTTACCCACTTGGAAATATGATTTTCTTTAACTTTGGAAGCTCTTTACAGAGTGAGCAACCGCGCTTAATATTCAAATGTTGAAACTTGCCCCAGGAACGCAATTGCTTTGTTCGACTAGAAAACATTTGTATGCCCTTCGACCATCGGTCATATTTTGTTCCTCAATCAGTTTCACTTACCATTGCTATTAATCATCGATCCTCCAAGATTCATCGCCTCCATTCCATGCTTCTGGATTGGAGAAGTTACCTCCAGTTTGACCACTGGAGATGCGCTGGTCGAAATTTCGGCCACTTGGCATGGCGTTCCAGGTTCTTTTTTCACATTCACTCCCGCCCATTCAATGGGATTTGTTCTGGAACATCCTGAGATCGACAACTGAAAAAAAAACGCTCAATTCATATTCGAATTTTCCGTGCAAAACTGCTCAATACACGAACCTCTTGAATCTTCTTCATTTGCGACGATGGACAGGGGCATAGTTTTTGGGACTTTTGTTGAATCGAACAGCATTTTTCATCGCACCGTTTCTCCGCTATATGGATCTTTTTCGGGCTTGGCGGATAGTCGGGGGGCTGTTGCTGAATTATGATGTTGTTCGAGTATCCCTTTGTGAGCAACTCCAGCTGGGCGACCGGTATGGGGGAGTATGGAGAACCTGGGGGCGGCGTTGATGCCCCGAAAGTGTAACCAGTAGCGGAGAACAAAGAATCTGAAACTAAACAGTGCAAATGAGGATTTTTGCAGGCTCATGTTGAACTGTTTGTTTCTCCTTTTGCAGCAGGAGATATACTTTCGATAACGCTCTTTGCCCGTTGTTGCCATTTTGACTCAAAGCTGAAAGTTGTTAATCTAAGAAGTCTGCAAAAGATGGTGTTTTATCAACTAATTTTTTTGGGGATTTTATAAAGCAGAATTTCACAACCAACGGCCATTATTCATGAATAAACGATCGGTTGATCAGTTTGTACCTAAATCAAGCTGAAAAAACCATCCGGCAATCAATGTTGGCTTGTAAATAATTAAAAGAACCTTGCATGAAGGATCAACATTTTATATTTCCTCAGCTAAACGTGACCATGAATAAAATATTATCTAACAGAGGTCGGAATTCCAGGAATATCATGTTACTCTCTCTGTCCCATTTTGCTTTTTTATTTATAAACTGATAGATGGTGGGTCTTTGATATAAAAATACCAGTTATTAAGTTATGGTGAATCCTTATTTGTGGCGCTTTAACCACTGGATGGCTTACGACGTTTTTATTATTGCCGGATTATTCGTTATTTTTCATCCTAAATCGCTCGCTATTGGTTTATTTATGGGAATTTTGTCAAATTTATTACAAACTGCCCTCATAAATATTAGATAACGATTAGTTTTCGGCCTTTGTACTCTACGATTTATTAGTGGAAATTGCCCGAATTATACACTGCGATCGATGCATGAATCACACCAATTTTATGCCTGTTTGTGTGTAGTTTTCTAAAGCAAAAGTTTTCTTGCGGTCCCATCAAAAAATCTTCAACGTTCTAGTTGGTCTCCCATGCCATGTCGCTTCGGTTGCTCGAAAGAGTAGAGAGCTAAAGTAAATTTGCACTCATCAAGCTCTCTGTAATTTTCCCCGTGCTTTTATCTTCTGTTTGTTTACTTCGTTGATGTCTTAAATCTGTATTGAAGGTAAACTTGACGTCTGATTTATTTACCTTAAGAAACATTGTATAAAGATGAATGTATGCGCTACAGGCCCAGTTACGATAAAAGTGCAGAAGTAATGGGTTGCGGCCTTTGATGCCTGGACGATTTGCATTTGGGGCTTTTAAGCCTGAATTATTTTACAAACTGGGAAAGTCACTTATATTCAGAATTTCGTAAACTTGATAAAAAAGAGGCTAGAATTCAAGCCATGTAAACGTATGGTACCGGGTATGAGTGGAACAAGGCAGTCTTCCAAACGCGGGTGAAGGAGAGAGAAAAATAATCCGATACAAGTAAATCTTTCTCGATTCTTTCTCTTTCTAATGCATACAACCATGGCTCTGCTTTGTTGCACTCGTGTTTTCGTCCTTTTTCTTTCCATAGAATTTGGTTGTTTGCGACTCGAAAGCGAGTTTAGAGATTCGCAATTTCCATGCCGTCTAATCAAAACGGAAGTTAGGCAGTGTTCAGGGCGGTTAAGTTCTCACCGGAAGTTTGCTCACTTAACGATTACTCTAAGTGTCACTCTCAGATATTCGGAATGTCCGCCCACAAGGGCGGCTTGGAAGAATTTGTGGGTTTTCCTACCGGCACTTTAGACGCGCATCTAAGTTCATTTACATCATAAAATGAATACTTTGAAATTTTCTCATCGGTTTTATGCTTTCCATCCAATTAAGGTGCAACATTTCCTTTAATTATTATTGCTTTTAATCGATATATGGCAAGCTTTCGCAGTTTAGCGCACACGAATTATTGAACCATTACAAGCCGTCTGATTAACATGTGAAACTTTTGAATCAAGGGTAGTCGGTTCTACCGGTGAAGAATATCATACTTATTGATAAGTGAAGCGATGAACAGAAAAATTAGAGAACGCAAGGGCAAAGTCGCTCGTTCTGAACTTCGCAACTTATTTACGTCCCGAGGATTATTGATTTTGCCATTGACAATGGATTCTTTGAACGAGCATAGATTGAAGAGTTTCGATTAGTTTTTGAGATTTCAAATAACTCTTCCTTTAACGTTAATCCCCGCATATTAGAGAAGAATAAAATATATGCTGCTGTTCATCAAAATAAATTTTACGGTTCAATTAAGTGAGCCAAATTGCGTAGCGAACTGGATGCATAAACATCGGAAAAATACAATTGGTATCTCGATAACACCAAACGGCCTGCTTAAAGAGCAACAAATCTTTCTACAACAGCGAAAGTTTTACGAAAAATGCATGGAAAATTGGGCCAACTGTGGGTATGATTACCAAAACTCCTCAAACTTTTCGTCGAATTTGCAGCTGTTTAGAATGTTTTGCTAAGTTGACAAAAGCCCTTGTGCTTGATGAATATTTAGTTATTGAAATGATGCATTTTGGTCCAAAATGGTTTGTCGTCCGAACGCTTGAAAAGTTGTGCGGCAAATAACTTGCTGGTTCACACCATTGGAATAGTTTTTGAGTTTTTCTAAAAGGCATCGGGCATAAACCTCGAGCAGCGACGAAAAACAATAATCAATAACGGTATATTCCAAACCCACGGTTCGGCCAACCTTCCAGCCGATTCGATCGAAACGAAATTGGCTTTTACCTTTGTGCGCCGCATGAAAGGTGTTCCCTGATGATTGCTGTATGTGGCCGGAGGCGAAACGTCCGATCGTGCTTGCATGCGAGTAAAGCGCGCTTCCAAAGGCCGCTGTTCCGGGGAAGAGTGAATACAAGCCATATTTACTCAGTCCTGAAAAGAGACAACAATGTTAGTCAAATGTATATGGAACAGTTGTTATGTGAATGAATATTGTTTAGGCTCTTCCGGCTTAAGGTGGGCTGTTGATGTTTCAGTTTAGGCAGGAGTTTTTTTGATGTTTTGCTCCAAAGCTTACACTTACATCTTCATGATTCAGATTGTTTTTATTGTTCAGTTATTGCGAAAGTCAACTTTCCAAAGCCTTGAATTACTGAAGAGAAGCAGGTTAAAGACGAGTTGAGCGAAAAATTTGCGTCTCTTTAGCTGCGTAAAGAACAAATGATTAGATCTGTGGCGTTTGAATGGGTGGCTCGAAAACAAATTGGGCCAACCAGATAATAAATATCCGTGTAGAGTCGAGTTGCCAGCCTGTCGCAAAAAAGACGTTTTTTTAATATTTGTTCCTGATAAAATGCGTCCAGCATTGCCCTGAATGGTGATCAATTTAAGCAATATTTTAATGGGCTAATAAAGAATACAAAGCCTCTTTAAGCTGGCTGTACGTCTTCATTAAATTTCAATGCGGGTGCCTTGAGGGCGTAATTGTTTCAGCCCGTTTTATATTTTAAAAAGAAATTGTGGTTGTTTCGACAAATTTACTAGAAGTTGTAGAGGCGTGCTTGTTTTGTCATATTTAAAGCATCTCTCAGTACTGGAAATTTAAATTATCGCCATTAGTTTGAAAGGCGCACGGAATTTTGTCTAAATTTCAGAACATCGTTAGGAGTCAGATGTTTACCGCGCGCCGCTAATGAATTGAACAGGCATCGATGTTCTGACTTTCGGAGAAGTTTTGGCGGACTTATTCATTGGAAATGTGAAAAAACATCAGTATTTTATCCAGACAAAACATTCGATGGATAAAAGTTTCCATAGGCACACGAATTGCCATCTAACTTAATGAATCAATTAGGTACCACCCATGAATATGTTGTTTATTATTGTATTTGAATGAGATCTTCTCCTTCAGCTTGTCTAATCTAAATCGGCATTTTATTGAAAATCCGAAAATAAACAATAATTGCGGCAGGGTTTGGTTAGAACATTAGGAAAGCCACCAGCGTCCGTGGGAATCTGTGATCCCACAAAGTTATTTTTACTTGAACGTTTTCGATTTGTGTTTTTATGGTGCGGAATGAACAACTGGAGCCCGATATTTACTCCTATCAGTCATGAAAGGGATTCGACGTTGTAACATTGTGAGCGGAATAAACGCGCCCAAAATCAAAGTGTAAACTTACCGTCAGTGGAAAAACTCGTTGCTGATGGAGTTTGTGCCGGGGCCAGGGGCCAAAGCCCCCTTTGGGGGGCTCCCCCCGGCCCAGCGGGGCTGCCGAGCATGGCGAATGGCCACCCCGGAGCGAAGGGATGCGATCTGGAAATAAAACAGCAATTAAACACACTGGACTAAAATCAACTTGATTATTTTCCACATTTCTCTCTTGTTTGATTATCGAGTTTTTCTGTTGTTCAAAGGAGACTTTTATCGGTTTCTTTCCCAAATTCCCTTAAATTTAGCGATTTTTAGAGGAGATTCGGCAGCGTGACAATAAGTGTTTCAGCTCGAAACCGCATTCTCAAAAGCCCATTAATATCTTTGAGAAATAAACCAAAAAATGATGCTTTACGTTAGTAACCAGTGAGTTCGATTTTTCTTGCTCAATCTTCAACCTCGCACACCTTGATAACAAGCAAAATTTGATGGTTTCCTCAGTCCTTGGAAGGAGAAGGTGCTAAACTTTGAGTCTAAAACAACTGAATATTCATCCAACATTCATCAGGTTTGAACAGGCAATTAATGTGTTCAATGTAGGTTATTTGAAACCCACCCCTGATTTGCATTGTCCTGCGGGGCCGCCTTCATTTTAATTAACAATAGCAGCGCTTAAAACTGATGATAAACTGGCTTAAACAGGCAATTGTTATCGGTGTGGTTTCACCGAATTCACCTGAAGTTTCCGTGTGTTTTCGAAAAGATTCACATTAGAAATCACGCCGTGTTAAGCCGGATGATGATGCCTCATTCATTGCGATTCCGCGAAATAAAATCATTGAAATAGACGTACGTATGTAATATGCAACAAATGAAATCAGTATTCACCTCACGCCTATGTCTTATTAGCTTTAATAATACGGGAGAGAGTGAAATTATGGGTCTCGGCATTTTCAATCTCTTACCATCTTCGGCACCATTCCCTGTTTGTGGATGGTACGGCTGATAATTATCAGGGATTATAACGAGATGGAAATAATTATAATCTATCATAATTCGTCGTTAATTGTTTTATGTCATGCTGTCGAGAGTTTAAAATCGATTAGGTGGCTATAAATGAGGAATTTTATTTCGGAAATAAGATTTTTCGCGAAAGATAATCCCGAACTTTGGCAAATGCCACAGTTACATCTGGCCGTTAACGTGAACTTTGAGGATAATCAATTGGCTCTTTAACGTGCATTTTCCTCTATGTCGTATTTAAAAACTGTCAAAAGCAGAAAGCCCTTTGTAGCGGATATTAATACAGTTTATTACGGGCGCTAAATGGGTCGGCGACTGTTTTGTGCTGTTAAATTCAGATTTTAATTTTATATGGCATCATGAAAGTTAAATTCAATTTTTCAGCGCGATTGTTCATGGCATGTTTGACCGTTAGTTTAGTTTTCTTTGCTTCCTTTTACGGATTTTTCCTTAAATTCTGTTAAAAGCAAGCTAAATAATGAGCATTTGTGTAGCTGATGAATCTGATTGTTGCTATTAGACAGATCAATCAGAATTGTTTTTCTCAAATGCACTTTTCCGTTTCAAAAATTCGCATCGTCTAAACTGAATCAAAGAAAGATTTAGAAAATACTTGAACGATTCTTACAGTTTTATAAGAATCGCCGCAAATTCTGAATTTCCCCAGATATATAATTATCGGCCTACAAATGGATGTTTAAGACCAACTGCGCTCCCGACTTAAAAAAGTCGTATTTTCCAAACGAACGAAAGTAACCAATTGAAAGTTTCACTATCTTTAGAAGACGGTTGAGTGAAAAGATGTTGAAAACTTCACAATAATCGCTCATAATGCTGATTTTTCACAGGATTGTAAATATCTGTTTCAAAATGGATGTCTTTACCCAACTGCGCCCTCTCCTTAACAAATTCAAATTTGAGCAACTAAAACATGTAGCTACTTTAAATTTCCGCAATCTATATAAGACACTCGACTCTGAAGATTGGGAAAGTTTGATGAAAATATTCCATAACCCTGAATTTTACCAGCCTAGTAAATCTCGGTCTCAAAATGGATATTTCTACACAACTGCACCATCTCTTTAAAAAAATGTACATCTTGTAACCTAAATCATGCAGCTATTTGCAGTTTTTACAGTTCTCAGAAAATACCTGACTCCCAAAGATTCGACGAGTTTCGTAAAAATCGTCCAAAATCCTGATTTCTCCCAACTCGGTAAACATCAGCCTCCAAATTGATGTTTTAGCACAACTGCGCTCCCGTTTTCAAAAAATCGTATTTTCAAAATGTACGAAAATAGCGACTTGAAAGTTGCACCATCTTTAGAACACGCTTGATTAGAAAAATGTTGAAAATTTCACAATCATAACCCATAATCCTGATTTTCTACAGACTAACGTACTAAAACAAGTAACTATTTGAAATATCCATCATCAGCAGTCGGACACTTGACTCTGAGGACTCGGAGAGTTTTATGAAAATTTGCCAAAATTCTGATTTTTGTCTGCTTAGCAAATATCGGTCTCGAAATGGAAGTTTTTCCCCAAATGCACCTTATCAAATAAAAATGCGTATCTTCCAAACTAAAGAAAGCAATAATGTGAAACATTCAGAATCTTTTGGAGGATAGTTGACTCTAAAAACCTTGCGAGTTTCATAAAAATCGTCGTAAATCCGAATATTCCGAATAATGGTCAATCTGGGTCTTCAAATGTATGTTTTGCGCACTTTTCCTCCTCTAAAATCTCCTTTAAAAATTCGCATTTTACAAACTGAAGCGAGTAGCAACTTGAAAATTTCACCGTCGTTATGAAACAATTCACTTTAAAAATTCTGTAGGTTTCATAAAAATCAAAAAAGCAAAAAACAACATTCACAGAAAGATCGCTGTTTTCTAAAATCTTCTATTTAACCGAATGAATAGGATTGATGTTCGTTAATTCCGGTAATGTTTGCCGTGTTCAAAACAGCTAAATGTCTGCGATAAGAAAATGATAGAGTATTAGAAATATCGGGTTCGGTTCTATCAATCTTTGTTATCAGACGCATTTTTCCATGTTTATGAGATAAGCCATTAGAAAACCCGGCAAAATGTTGGAACGTGCATTAAGTCGTTTCAAGCTGGCATGCTTGAAAAAAGATAATTCTGATTTGAAATTTAAAAAAAGTCAGATGCGTATTAATTTATCAGTGACATCATGAACAATCGAAAGCTTTTAAATTTCTTGAGGTTTTAATTAAGATTTAAATTATTCTCAGTTCAGATTGAAGAAAAAATCAAAAGTACTCAGGCTCAAAATAAGAGCAATTCTTGTCCCACTAATCCTCAAAACTTACAAACTGTTGCTACTACCGACACAATTTGAAGCCAAATTGCGATGATAAAGCAGCATAGAACTTAAAGTTAATTAGAAATGGTCGAAGGTTTAATCATTTTGTTTCCACTGACTCCCACATGGCCTAAACCAAGCTTTAAAGCTCAATATTAGTATGTAAGTGGTAATCGCCTCGCTGGCAAAGTAAAGGTTGTTGTTTACCTCACACTGGAGCCATGTTATAACGGATATGAGGTCACGTCGTCATTGTTTACAGGCACTTAAGGTGGAATTTAGCAAAAAGAAAAAAAAACGGTAATGAAGCCGAAATTCCATTATTCAATAGGAAATGTTTGCACCCTACGGATCCGTGTGTAAAATCATTCTATTTGGAATTTAGATTAGATTTGCCGTTGAAATATAAATAAGGTCGTGAATTTCAACTCCAGAAATTTAAATACTTGGGATGCGTAGTTTGGGCGTTTTAGGGTGTATTTAGTATGTTGGTATAGTGAGGGGTTTCGACTTCCTTCTATCTCTTTGATCGTTGTTGGAAGTTCTACATAGAGGGTTTCGACATTCTTCTGCTCTTGAGTATCGTAAAATTGGCGTTTCGAGTTTGAAAAGAACAAATTTTTGATCGAAATTTAGACTCTAATTTCAGAAAGTTGCAAATGCAAAATAGGAAGGCGCTTTTCGATTACAGCCGTCTGTTGATGATGATATTGTCTTTCACCTTAAAGTGTAATTTTTTGAAGTTGAAATTACCACTTACCATTAGTTAAATCTCGAATAAAAAAAACGAGAAACATTTCTCCACGAAACAATGATGTTTAGTACAGAAAAGTACGCAATTTAACGCTCTATCTCGCAAAATCACAATTTCGTGGCTCGACCGGTTCTTTAAATACGAGCCAAAGAATAAGAGCGGCTCTGAAGACTTGCATTAATGTTGAATTTTCGCATTTTCCGTGAAAACTAGACACATTTCTTGAACGATGTTTGCTATAAAAAAGTACGCAATTTAACGCTCYATCTCGTAACGAAAACCACAGTTTCGAGGCTCATCCGGTTCTCTAAATACGAGCCAAAGAATAAGAGCGGCTCTGAAGACTTGCATTAATGTTGAATTTTCGCATTTTCCGTGAAAACTAGACCCGTTTCTAGAACGACCTTTGCTATGAAAAAGTACACAATTTAACGCTATATCTTGCAATGACAATCAGTTTCGTGGCTCAACCGGTTCCCTAGATACCAGCCAACGAATAAGAGCTGTTCGGAAGACGCGCATTATTCTTGAATTTTCGCATTTTGCGTAAAAACTAAAAACATTTCTTATGTTTATGCTATTAAATTATGTTATGGTACAAAAATGCACGCAATTTAACGCTCTATCTGGCAAGCAAATCCAGAACTGTGTAGCTCAACCGGTTCTCTTAGTACCAGCCAAAGAAATAGAGCGGTTCTGACGACGCATTATTCTTGAATTTTCGCATTTTGTGCAAAAACTAGTAAAATTTGTAGAATGATGTTTGGAGTATAAACGTACACGGTTTGACGCTCTATTTCCAATGGGAAATTAGAGGTTTGTAACTCAAGAGTTCTTTAATACGAGCCAACATAAAAGAGTGGTTCTGAAGACTCGCATTAATCTTGAAATTTTCATTCTGAAAAATAAATATGACATTTTTTTACTTTTGTCGATTTGCCACCCTTAAAAGTTACTTTTATTAAGAAATTTCGATCTTCAGTTCATGCCGAAAGCATATTTTAAGCATAATATGAAGACAACACTCTCTTTGCCTTCTACTTAGTTTCAGTTA